ACACGGTTCCCAGCAGATCACCGAAGTCAAGCATCACTGGCTACGGTCAGTGTGCGGGTGGGTGACCACTTGGATCAGTCTGCGTAGGGACCGAGGGTGTGCGGTATTGGTCCTCGTTAAACTGTGCTACCGTAAAGTGCTCGATTTCGTGCGCAGGTCGTCGGGCTACCGAAGCGGGAGTGCCATCCCTTCCGCAGAGGATCAAAATTGTGATGGCATGTCTTCGGATCATTCTCCGGCCAGGAGTTTCCTTGTCTTCTAGATTGGTTCAAAATTACAAGGCTACGGCGTTGAACATAAGTAGTCGTAAACCCAAAAATTGGGTCGACTGTTCAACGGCGGTCATAAAATAAAATAAAATAGCCCATTGTGCAGCTCTAGTGCGACGTAAATTAAGAACAACAACAAAGGATTATAGACATATGAAAAAAGGAGCGAAAAGAAAAATAATAATTAAAGAAAATATCAAGCAACTGGGGAAAAAAAAGAAGAAAAAAAAAGGATAAAGTCTTTTTTTTAAAAAAAAAATCCGAAATTCAAAATTAAAATTCAAAATTTAAAAATAATATATATAATTTTTTCATCAACCCACAGGATTATATCCGTAAAAAAGAGTGCTTTCTGATATTGTATCAATATAGCCAAAGCAAAATATATCAATACAATAGTGTGAGGAGAACTCAAAAAAATTTTTACAAAAATTACAACAACTAAAATAGAACACAATAAGTAAAAATGACACGTAAAAACAGAAAATAAAATAAAAGAAAAAGAAAAAAGAGAATGAAACATAAACTATAAAGCGAGTAGTGAATTCAAATGCACTTACATGAACAGGAAATTTTTCAAGAATGATTTAAAATATTTTCCTAACAAGATTGTCAGATTGCAAAATCTGAAAATAAAAGCGCAAATTGAACGTAACTAGAGGAGTTTTGTTTTAAAGTGTCGTTCTTACAGCATTGCTGAAGTGCGCTTGATTTGTTAGTCACCAAGGATGGGCCCGAAAATGGATGTGCGCAACGCAATATTATACTGAATAATTTATAGAAATTGACCATAAATAATTTAAGAAAATATATATTCATTTAAGAAACAAATATAAAATGGAAAAGAGAAATGTGAATTACCTGTTTTGCACATAATTTTAGCCACGGATTTGTCCGAAATGGATTTGCACGTAGAAAAATTATACCAATTAACAAAGAAATCTTTCTAGTAAATAATTTTAGCAACGGATTTGCCCGAAATGGATTTGCACATGGAAAAATTATATAAATTAACAAACAAATAAAATTTCAGTAGATAATTTTAGCCACGGATTTGCAAGAAATGGATTTGCACATTGAAAAATTGTATAAATTAATAAAGAAATTTTTAGTAAATAATTTTATCCACGGATTGGCTCGAAATGGATTTGCACGTGGAAAAATTATACTAATTAACAAAGAAATTATTTAATAAATAATTTTGACCACAATATATTTAAAAATTTTATCCTTTTTTCCCCCAGATGTTTGATATTTTTTTATTATTATTTTTCTTTTCTCCCCTTTTTTCATATGTCTGTAATTTTCCTTTGTTTTATCTTCATTTTGAACTATATATATATATACATAAAACACAGAACTCTCCAGGATAGACCACATCTATGCAGCAAATTATTTTTGTTTATTAATTAACTTATACCCTGTTTCCTTATGGAGTATAAATCAATATTGTATAATGAAAAGAAGTTATGCACTTAACTGAAACACATATTAATAAAGCAAAACACATATTATGGTAAAACAAATAGTAAAGCAAAATTAAATACAGTTAAATTATTTTTCCTTGTTTTTCGTCGGAGAATTTAAGTTAAAAAAATTAAGATGAGCACGCTTTTAATAGTTCCTCTTATCAAAATAGTGGTTACTTTTCAGTGTTACTTATCATTTTTCAAAGACCCGTGAAACACCCGTGAAATTTCTGTATTATCTATAATAAAGCTGCACATTATTAGTGCAGTTCTAATAGGTTTGCAAATATATATCATAAACGAATGACTCCATCAATTTTGCTTTTCAGTACGTAACTTATTCCGTATTTTAATCAGTACTTACTACCAAAATTAATTAGGTAATTAAATATTTGGCTATTCGGGAATATATATATATATATATATATAAATTCGATAAATATTTTTATTAAAAAATTAACTTACCTTTAAACCAAGCAGACTCCTTCATGCAAAATGTATTGCAGGTTTTTAGAAGAGATTGCGCAAATTCTAAACTCGGACCAGATGTTGTTGGGCATATTTCTTTGTTATTAATTACACACTCAGCAAAATGCTTCAATTTTCTACAGAAAAAAAAAACAGAAAAATTTTTTTATTAATAAGAAATTTTTGGACTTCTTGCGTTTACTATCAAAAACGTTTACTGACAAAAACTTTTAAATATACGGGATGATGATTACTTCAGCGTATATCCTCAGAAATTGTCAAATAAAGGAAGAAAAATTAAAGAGTTTGCTAATTAAACTAGGCTAGCTTGGAAGAACATCCTTGATAATGTTAATATCGCTATTTTTAATAGTGATATGCCAAATTTAGTGAGTTTTGTTCATCAAACTTGCTTAAATATTAATTTTCAACTTTTTATATGCATGGTATTTTAAAAATGATTCTACCAATATAAACTACGCCGTTCGTTGAAAACACCTTATAAAACTGAGAATAAAATAAAATTAAATGAAGTTTTTTTTAAAAAGAAAGAGTTTTTTTTTCTTCTCTTTTCATAGGCTTCTTACGTGCATAGTTCTTCAAGTTCACTGTTACGCGTTGGGAATTTCAAGTCTTGGATGGGGATTCCACAAAATTCTACCACATTTTCAGGGCACTCGTCTTGTCCATCAACCAGAAAAACTGTAAGATAATGCAAAGTAAATAAACTAAATAAACTAAATAGGAAAGAAACAATGCGTGTTATTTCTTAACCACCTAAAATCCCATTTAAAATTTAAATCAAAAATAAAAAGGAAAGAGTATCACGATTCAATTTGGTCGTTAAAGAAGAAAAAACGATCTATATTATATAAAACGCTAATACGTAACTATGTATCAATAAAACCGATGATATTTCTTTTCTCGCGCTGGCAACAGTTTTCATTTTTAATTGATTGGATTCGGCGCGCAAGAGCACGTAGTGAGCATCATATGGCTAATCTATATTACATAAAACGCTAATACGTTTTAATTGATAGGCTTAAGCACGCAAGAGCATCATATGTCTAATCGGGTGAATTCTCACCGAATTATCAAAAAAATTCTCACAAAATTACCTTCATCGAAGCCGATGCTTTACTTCCGGCGTTCAGTACTATTTCATATTGTTTTATAACACATGGTTTTAGCCCTCTGGTGAAAAAGACTTTAAAACAAAACTTACAACAGTTACTTTTCTCAACAACTGAAATTTAGAATAGTGTGATTAAGAAAAATATGCGAACTGTTTGCAATTTCAAATTAATATTGAGGTGCACATGTTTAGAATTTTCTGCAGTGAAAAGTTTTCGGAACTTCAGTGTTCAAAAAAGTATACAAAAGCTAGACGTTAAGAACGTATCCAATAAGCGAGCAAAGCGAGCATCGGATTGCGAAGCAATCCGAAATGAACTATGAAAGTGTTAGAATATGAATTTCAATGAACAAGGTTCGAGTAAGAGTCAGAGATCACGAGTTCGAAAAACCTCTGAAGGAGGGAGTTCGAACATTTAAAAATAGTTTAAAGACAGAATTTGCATAGCATTAATTTTGAGTGTGTAAGTACCCTCATTATGCAACTGTTATATTGTATATATATGACAAATTAAGATTGGATTTGGAGTTTTGTTTCTTTTGATTTTCATGACTGTATGTATTGAATTCATGTTATGGAGAGGATTGTTTCTCCTTTATGATGTTTAAGTTAAGTTATGATGTTTCTTAATTAATAAAATTTATGATTAGTTAAAAGATGACTTTTTCATTATGCTTACTAAGCATTTTCCACAACGCACTGAACTCTGCCAGCAGAGTTCAGTGCGTTGTGGAAATAATTGATAATTCTCACCGAATTATCAATTCCTTTGATAATTCTCACCAAATTATCAAAAAAATTCTCACAAAATTATCTTCATCGAAGCCAATGCTTTACATCCGGCGTTCAGTATGATTAAGAAAAATATGCGAACTGTTTGCAATTTCAAATTAATATTGAGGTGCACAGGTTTAGAATTTTCTGCAGTGAAAAGTTTTCGGAACTTCAGTGTTCAAAAAAGTATACAAAAGCTAGACGTTAAGAACGCATCCAGTGAGAAAGCAAAGCGAGCATCGGATTGCGAAGCAATCCGAAATGAACTATGAAAGCAGTTCCGGGGGTTGGCGAGCGCCAGCGAGCGGGGGGCGAAGCCTCCTAGTTGTTAGAAAAGCATTCAAACTTTTTTTCTAGTACCTTCTTCTTCAGTAAGGATTTGCTAGACTTTTTAGATATTTTTTCGTTTTCTCTTTGCTTAAAGATTAGGGAAACATTGCTATCACGAATTTTGACTACATGCTTCGTATGCAGACGGTATTTATTGGATATTTAAAATACTTTACGAACATTGAAAATCGTCATCTTTTAGCAAAATAGTACAAAAGGGTAAGTGCGCATTTTTTCCCCTGATTTTTGAACGTAAGAGAATCAGTGATTTCCAAAAAGGAAGGGAAATTTCCCTCGTGCTTTATTTGTAATTTAAGTATAACGACTTAGGATATGACTATTGCATAATTATTTTCTGTAACTGTAGTTGAACAGCCGACGCAATTTTTGGGTTTACGACTACAAATGTTCAATTCCGTAGCCTTGTAATTTTGAATTCAATCCGGAAGACAAGGGAATTCCTGGATTGGGAGAAATTTGATTTCGTGGAGGACTTTTTGATGGAAATAACCCGCTTTTGCGTAAAATTAAGGGAAAGACCATGAGAACCTCCCACGGTGAGCCTGACGGGAAAGAGACTCTAACCCATGAGCTGTCTATCACTGAGGATATTTTACGTCAGCATTGTGGTCAGTGTTAGCTAAATACTGACTTGTATCGACCAACCATCGCTAGGATTCCAGCCGGATTCACCTGATTCAAAGGCGAACGTTCTATCTCCTGTGTCATCGCGGCTCATTGCATAAATATAAAAGTCTTTATTACATGGATATTAAAAAACTTAATGCACTTCAAACGAAAATTATTAATAATTAAATTATCTATAATACAATAAATACAAATCATTTCAAATCTTTATGCATACTTTCAAATCGTCATTTTTCTCTCCCCTTAAAATCTGTTCATATTTATGAGTGAATATAAAAGAATGTAAAATGCATAAAAACATTTACTCACGTAGAACTAACAAATTATAAATCGAAATATATTGATGCAAAAATATACCAAATGCCGATATCACTCATAAATATATTTATGTGTGATTAGATATTTATAAAAGTTAATTTTCTAAAACAAAGTATAATATTTCTTTCGAAAAGCAATACAACTTATTACAGAAAAATATGTATTACTCACTAGAACTTAATAGTGCAATAAGATGCTGCAACCGCATATTTGGTTCCCAAAAAGAAATAACCTCCTTTATCACAATTATTTCCTGTCAAACTGATTCTTTAGTAAAAAGGAGAGCTTTTTGTAATGATAGTAAACGAAGGACAACGCTCACATAATAAGGAAAGTTTGCTATTATATTTCTCCGATCATATTAAATAAGCCTGCTTCCTTTTTTCCTTTTGCCTATTAAAAAAAGATAAAACTAAAAAGATTATTTTTATTTTCAAATAACATTTCAACTTTCTTTTTATTTATTTATACCTTGTTTGTATAGTAAGCTGAATGTTCTCAGATTTAAAATTAAATCAAGATGCACTCTGATAACAACGTGGTTTCCAGATTTGTTTGTTCAAAACACTGCGTGTTGTTTCATTGCAGTTATAAAAATACAGCATGCAACAAATACATTTTGATTTTTCGTTTTTGAAAAATATCAAAAAGTTTTGCGTTCACTTTTTTATTATATAGTTAGCCTACCTGATTTTCTTTCCAATCTGATTCCTAATTTGACCTATCTGATTTTCTTTCTGATTTTCTTTCTGTTATTCTGTGATTTTTGTTATTATTTTTAAATTTCGTTAAATTGATTTTTCAAATAGTCTATCTGTTTATAGACAATAATACATATTTAAATGTGTAACCATAAATGAGATTAATTAAACGAAAACTGTTTTGCTATTAATTAATATATGAAAATTATTTTGCTCACTTCGTGTATCAATAAGAAGGAAGGTGATTCTAATTTAATGTCGCATTTTGAAAATTTCAAAACTCTTAATAGAATTTCATTCACTTCGATCGTATTTACCGGGCAAGTATATTCTCCCTTTTCCAGTCATGCTAACAGACAATTTAAACAAATGATAATAAAAACAAGTATTTATATTAAAAATAAGTAGTTATAATAAAAATAATCTTTTATAATAAAAACTAGTTGTTATAATAAAAATAAGTAATTATAATAAAAATAAGTAATTCTCAGAAAAATATGTCATAATAATGAAAATAAATAATAACAAGGTAAATATATTAAGATCTGATATTAAAAAGCAAAATCTGTGATTCAGATATAAATTTTTTTAAATAGCTTAAACAAAAAGACAAAGTTTTATATTAATTTGAATTCATTAAGCAAGGAGTTATTTATTTTTTATTCATTATAAATAAAAAAGTAACAGCTCTAATTGAGCTGATGAGGTAAAAAAATGCTTAGTTTACTTGGTCTAAATTGGACAGTGTGAAATTTTTGTGGATTTAAACTTGACTTATTGTCCATTTTAAAAGTATAACCATCGAACAAAGCATTAGAAATTTTCAAACCTAACTTAATGAAAGATTCAAATTTGTATTCTTAATAACTTTGGTTACTTAATTAAAATGAGTGTTATTACATGGAGAAGCAAGTATAGACTAAGCTTCCCCAATATGGTAAAATTTATCATGTTTCTGACTCTCAGGGAACACATATCACTAAGTAATTTTCATCGAAGCATTATGATTTTGGCAGTATTAGCAATAAAATATGCATTTATAACATGTGATAAGTTTTAGTAAATGCGGTAAAAGTTTGAAATTTTATCATGATATCTTAGACTATGGTATAAAAATCATTCATTCAGTTAAATTTACTTCTCAGTTTTGTATTTTATAGTAAATGCTTAGTAAAAAAAACTATAATTTTGAAAATCTGAATTTCTGGTAACTTGTTACCATATGAACAACCAAATGAATGGTTTATATATATATTGGTTCTTATTGCCCGAACTATGATCATTTTACCAGATATGACATTAAAATGCAGTGCAGTACTTCTACCAGAATTTTTTTACTCCATGTAACTGAGATATAAATATTTTAAAACACGATAAAGGTTAATTTGTTGAATCTGTGAATATTACTACTCAATCAAACCGTAATTCAAGAAATATTTACGATTTTGGAACACTACGAAGAAGCTACTTTCAGGAACATTATATAAATTATCAAAGAAATGAAAACAATTATTGTAAATTTATTTGTTTTAAACATATTTACTGAACACCTTTACATTTATAAAAACTGCAATACATATTTTCTGATATTTTTTTAAAGATTTTTCCAATTTAATTTTTTACCCTTTTATTATTTAATTTTTCGAGTAAATGATGTTTTTATTACCAAACCTCAAATGTGTACAACACAAAATGAAGAGGACTCTAGCTAATTAGAAGTCTGTCGAATATATGGTAAATAAAGTAGGTGAAACTTATTGATTAGAAATGTTCTAATTTGAATAGGAAAAGAAACAAAAGCAGATAAAGCCATTTGCCTTTAGAGCTGATTTTAATAATATAAACATACTTGTCACTCAATTTTCAATAATTAACCAAGGTTTAGAAATGAATGAGTTCTCTAATATTATTTCAAGTGCCAATATTAGTTCATTTATATTCTCTCTTAAAAATTGAGTTCAGTTCATTTTGCATAAAATCATAAAAATTTTCTAAATTGTTTTTGATAAATGCCAAAAATAAAATCACAGCTAAAATCAAAATTAGTTTTAACTGTTTTAAATACATTAGAAAAATGTCAATACTATTTAATAAATTTCCAGTTTTATTAAAAAATGTTGTAGTTTTAAATTTAACGATCTATAACTCATGTAGTAGTTCCAGCATCTGCTAAGCTACGGTGATATAAAAAAGGGCTTAGTAAAAAATACCTCAGAGTGGTAAAAATAAATATGTAATTAATTAAACATATACTCCAATAAAATTGAACTCATTAAAAGAAATTTTACTAGTATTATTTAAGTATTACAAAGCAAATATTTAAAGTTTAAAAATTATGCTTACACCATTTTAATTCCTTTCAGATTAATATATTTAATGACAGCATCCAGCTAATTTGACTAATGCCTTTAAAGAAAATTCATAAATTAAAGACTTGCCACAAATTTTTCACTTTTCCCAAAGCTAGCAATTTTAGAATAAGTAGAAACACAGGTCCTAAGAATAAAACAAAAGAGATACTGTTTCGCAAATTTCTGTATTTCTCATAGTTTAGTTTACATATTAATTGGAAAAGTATTATATTTAAGAAAAATTCAAATTTTTTTGTTAAGGCAAAGAATCATGCCACCAAATTTCGACGATAATTTTCGTTCAGATTTGCTAAAACTCCGTTTCTGGTAACCATGATAATCTTTGCTGTCTTTTCTTTTCTTGATGTCTCCTTCAGATTGCCACAACTTTGGTTTATACTTATTTTACGGGATCTGGGTTTATTTTCAAATAGACCTTAATCTTAAATCATCAAATATGAGAAGGACCTCTAATTTTAAGCTATTGATATTTTTTTCAATTATAAATTCTGTTTCTTATTGTTTCTTTGTCTTTTAAAAACTGTTCATAACGGTTGTCTTTTAGGTACGAAAACTGACAGAAAAACAAGAATTGTAATTGTTTGAATAATTTTGAAAGGCTCCTAAAATGTTATTGATTCTTCTATGTCATCGTTTGAAAGTTCTTATTTCACACATTTTTTTTAGCAAACTTCATTTTTGCCTTGAAAAACAAAATATCTGATTATTCATTACATTAATTCGTTACATTGTAGAATAGAAAAAGCTCTAAAATTAATCACTTTACACAATCGAGGCTTGTAGAATTCAAATATTAAGTACCAGTAAGGGACTTCTTTATATCACTTGCCTGTTATAAATTATCTAAATAAATTAAAAAATTTTATTCTCGATTCAAATAGGAAGCAATATTTAGTCCATACCTTAAGCAAAGTAACTTATTGAATCCGTAAGAAGACATTGCATACATAATTATTAATAGCATTCAAATAAAAATAGAACACACAATCACCAAATAGTCTTATTAAAAAAGTGAAATTTGTTCAAAATAGATATTTTCCCCAATATTTTTTTATATTTTTATCAATATGGCCATTAAACTCTTGAGATAAAAATTATTATGATTCTACCCATTCGTCGTTCGGTGCTAATATGAGGTCTTAAAAAATCTAGTACCTTGGTACCTATAGCTGTATTTGTATATGCTTATTACTACAAAATATATTGTCCATTGCTAGAATAAAACTATTAGTTATTACGGTTGCCAATTAAACATTCTGCTCTTACCATACTACTTTTACGTCTCATACCATACTACGTTTACGTTTACCATACTACTTTTACAGATAAGAACCCAAAATTCACCTTACGTGCATGAAGCAATTATTTAATTATTTAAATCCCTTTGTGGCTAATTGGATAGAAGGACTATTTGATTTCTAAGCACTTCATCACTCGAATATTGTAAATCCCTTCCAAGTCAACTAAAAATTTATATATATATATATA